TTGCATAAGCTTTTCAAAGCTTTGCAGCCTTCGATGCAACTTTGAGAATTTACAATCAAAACAACAGCAATGATTATTTCAAAAAAAAGAAAAAAAAAGAGCAGAGCTGAGCAAAGATGGATACACGTCTGGTTACTTCCACTCCATTCATACTGGGATAGTTTCATTGAAGCTAAAGTTTGGCTCGTTGCAAAGCTTCCTCCCTCCCCCCTCTTCCTCCCGCCCCCATATTAAAGTGATTATCTATCGAAGACCTCTGGACCCATCCTCATCTCTGCAGCGTGCTGATAAGGCAGCTGCTTCTCTGCCGCCGTGTCTCCCTGGGCCTCCGTCTGTCTTTCGGTACAAACTCTGGCTTTGTTACCATGGCCTGGTGCTGTCACTTTCTCTGTTGTGCAGGCGTTTGATCCGAGCACAAAAGGGGGTGGGGTAGGGTGGGGAGGCGGCTGTGGAGCTGATTGTCTGGTTGATAGTCGTGGCCTCCTCCTCCTCCACTTAAACATGCATGGCACCCAAATGGCATAGAAGCCACGGGAAAGGAAGACTCAGAGCACCTAAAACAGTTTAGCTCCGAGCTGCTTCCTTCTCCTTTTATTTTCAGCAGCTGGAAGAGAAGTAAGGCGACTTCTCTCGCTGAGTGCAAGCAGATGGCTTCCTCCAAGCTGAATCCAAATAACCATCATTTATCTTACCTTTCACGAAGTTTAAAGGGTTGCTGGTGTCCTTGCCTGGAACGAATAATTTAAATGCCTCCCACTCCCAACTCGCACAGAAACACACACGTAAGACTCTTCGTTGGTAGTTTCTTCAGCGGTGCGAGCAAAACGAGGCTTGGTACTATTGAGGTTGCCTTGAATTTGCGCGCGTAAAGGGTGTGTGTGAGCGTGCATGTATGCGTGGCGAGAGAAGGGAAAGGAAGTAACTTGCTGAAACCCTCAACCTCTCAGTTTGATTTCAACACGTGCAGCTGCGATCTTGGGCGTTGTTTCGGCGGAAGAAACCTTCCCACAGTTCATTCAGAGATCCCGGTCCTTATAGCCAGAAGCTTTAGTTTGTTTTAAGAAAGCTTTTCTTCCAAGTCAACGTCCGGCTTGCAGTTCGGCTGTTGTAATTACTCCTAAATGCATTCTCTGGGAACTACTACGGTGTGCTTCTGTGGCGAGAAACCGGAAGGAACCAACTAAGAAGAACGCGCAAGCCGAACGATGGCCGAACGTTTAAATCAAAAGCAGGGAAAGAAAAAGGAGGAGAAAAGTTGAAAAAGTTATTGTAGATGGGATGTTATTACGCGACGCTACACTTAAGGACTGTGGCCCTTCTGGATGTGCCCGTGTGCTGTTGGATCTCTCCTGGTGATAAACGTGAAAGGCTCCCATTGAAAAATAAAGTACTCTAAAAGCTGCGTGCATCCACCCACTTTCTGTGATAACTTGGCCTTAAGCATAATACATTCTTTGATATTTAATTGAAATTATTTATTTCTCTCTCTCTCTCTCTTTCTCTCCCCCCCCTCGTGTGTTACGACTTGTATAGAACAATGCCTCTCCAAAAGGAAGCTTAAAAAACAAAACAAGAAACAACCAAAAAACCCCACAAAGCAACCGCGTTGCTTTTGACTCTTAGCACCTTTGAAAATTATTGCTTTTCTTCTTTGAGCCCCTGTTTTCACTTCCTTCAGCACCGATCGTGGCAGGCGAGAACGGTGCGGTTTAGCGAGGAATTGAACCACGCGCCACCTCTCTCCATGGTCCTGAAAACAACACCCCGAAGTTTAAGATGGGAAAGCATTGGAAGCTGGCTTTGAGATTCCCCTCCATTCTCACCCAGTACATAGTATATTCTTTTGCTGCTAAATCTTTCGCAGTTGTGATAGCGAGATTGTTTTCCCTCACACTTATCTTGAATTCTTGAGTTCGGTTATGTTGTTATTGCTGTCCAAAATATGTTTCTTACCGGTTCATGTGCACCTAAAAGAAGAGAGGAAATATTCTGCTTTAAACAAAAGATGCCCATGATCAGAAGACACTGTTGTTTGTCAAGAAGAAGTGTGTTTTTGTGTCTGTGCATGTGTGTGTGTGTGTGTGCATTTTGAGATTTAGTTAGTGTGTGGGATAGACTTTCCCTTCATTTGTATGTGTGAAGGTTTGATGTTGGAAAACTAATTTCTTTTGGAAAGTGATTTTTGCACAAGGCCAAGTACACATTAAAAAATAGTAATTAAAAAAAGGATAAAAACTAGAGTGATACTGGTCTTTCTGTCATTTTTATTCCTGCTTAATATTATTTGCTGCACTGTCAAGTTCATACACGCTGAAAAGTTTTTTATATAAAAGAAAAATTCGATCCAGGTAATTGACAAATGAGTACCATAGCACTTGTCCTGTGTATGGGTTGTGGCCCTTCTTCTATAAACCTCATTTAATAATCCTGGGGGAAGTTTGGCAAAATCTCATTTCTTACGTAAAATAATGAGGAGGAAGAGATGGGGTGGGGTGGGGTGGGGATGGGCGGGTGGGAGAAGACGAGGAGGAGGAGGAGGAGAGCAGGAGGAGGAGATGCTTCTGAAGCTTCTGAAACTTGATTTTGAAAACTTAGCAAAGTGTTGCTGTTCAGAATTTTTTCATGGGCTGAACCGAAGATAGAATATCAGCTTAGTAAGCATTCTAACCGTTGCTAGCATTACAGAATGCTACATTCCTTTTACTGCTTCTATAGTATTGCTACTTTTGTTAATATATCTCCGGAGTCCTGACTTCGGGTTAGAACTAGCAAGATAATTGCCTTGGTTTTGCCTATTGATAGCCCAGGGTGAGGAGCCTCTTACCTTCTCTTCTCTTCTAACTCATTCTTCAAATGCCGATTTTCCCAGACAATGGTCGGGCTTCATCAAAGGGACAATAAGGAACGAGGGGCGTGTCTTTATGCAAGGATACACTGTTTCAAAAAAAACACAAACCAAAGTTGCTGTGCTTTTCTTCAAAACGTTGGCATTGTTGGGCATGACCGAATCCAAAAGGATAGGTTGTGGATATCTTTTTCATGCCCTCCTAACATCAAAAGTTTCAAGTAGAATAAATAAAGGCAAGCACCATCTCTCTTTTTCTCCACTCCCCCCCACCCATACATATAGGGTATCAAGCTTGGAAATCTAACCCACATCTTTCCTTAAGGTGGATATTGGTTTTAAAGAATTGCAGGACTTCTTAGGAAAGTGATGTCCCTGATCTTCGATTGCTCTAATTTGGGAGAGGGGGGTGTCGATTTTTCTCTGATGCCAACTCCCTGCTGCTATGGCTGCCCGCTAGGATTCAACTTTCAAGGAGTTCGTGCTGGAGCTAGCATTCGGTTAGCCTTATGTGGATGGGAAGGGTCGCTTTGGTTGCATCTGTACGTTGCTACTTGAAGTAAAAGAAAAAGAAAAAGAAAGAAAAAAGCAAAGCTTCCCTCTCTTCAGAGTGTGTCGGCCAAACAGTCAGGTCCTCGCAAGCTCTCATCCGTGGCATTCCTCTCTGCTGAACATTCAAGGGCATGCTATCACGGAACACTAACTTGCGTGGCCCCGCTTTTCCCAGTCTTCCCTTAAATCTCTCCCATGCAAAGGTTTCGGTTGGACTAAAGAGATAAGGGAAGCGCGTGTGCGCGCGCGTGTGTGTGTTGCGGATCACTCTCCAAAGGACACGCAGTGCTTGATCTGTGCAACTCTAAGTACGCTAGGCAAGTCACGCCATCCCCACCCCCACCCTGCCCCGCCCCACCCGCCCCCGTCTTTTCTCTCAGCAGATGTGGGCTATCTAGAAAGCTGCTCCTCTTGGAGAGGAAACGGGTTGACTTAGGGAGAAGGACGCGCGGAAGGGCAGAGGCGTGAAAATACCCCCTCTGTTTTGTTGATGACCACCAAAGAAACAAAATCCTCAGTGAGAATTAACTGTAAATAATTGGGAGAATGGGCTTAAGTATAGGGGATATCAATCTCCCCCCCCTCTCCCTCTCCCCCCCCTCTCTCTCTCTCCCCGTAAGGGGGGGTACGTGAAAGTATTTTCTTCCCCATACTTAGCTCTTCCAACAGCCCCTCCAAGTTTAAGTCGCGAAAACGTGCCGTGATTTTTGAGGCAAGTTCATGGAGAACCGAGCACTTGTGGCAGCCGCAAAGTTAGTCAAATAAGCTAAATTAACCCTCCCCGCGATCTTTTTCAACAAAGGAAGAAGCAGGCCCAGCTTTTGTTTTCCTTTGGCTTGAGAAGTTGCCGTGTTTGTTTTTTTTTTTTTTTTTTTTTTAAAAATCGGACGTGGTTCCTATTTTATGGACAAATTCGGAGAGGGAAGTAAAGCCCGCCCAGTTCTTTCTTTTTTTTGGCTTCTTAAAAGTTTTTTTTCTTTCCTCACAACCTTTGGCAGCTCAGTACTCTTGACAGGGAGGGAAGAAAAAGGGCTAGAGAGGTGTGTATGTGGAAGGCGCGACTTCTTTCATTCAGTGGGAATCTCAGCCCACGCGCCACGCGCTTGGAACGCTAGTGACAACAGGTTTGTGTGCCTGAAGCTTGTGAAACATCCTAGCGGAGCCGTTCAGGGTCCAAACATACCAAGCTCCCACCCCTCACTCAAAAAAAAAAAAAGGGGGGGGGGGGGGGGGAGGAAGATGGTACAAGGATTCCTCAGGCTTGCAATTGTCTCGTTTAGGGGAGGAAAAGGGGGGGAGGGAGAATGGAAAGTGGGGGAGGAAAAAAAAAAAAAAAAGACCGAGAAGGACAAACGCAAAAGACGCGTTCGATTGCTTCGCCGCCCGTTCGCCCTGACGCCGAGCAGGGGTATCTATCGCTCAGTACAACGCACCTTGAAACGGGACTCCATCGAGCCCGCCGGAGTGGCACCGAGCGACAGCCAATCCGATCGGCCCCTGGCCGGGGGCGGCGCCAGATGCAGCCGCTCGGACCAATCGGAGGCAAAAGAGACCCTGCGAGCAAGTTCCGTTGTCTCTGGATTCGGCGTATACTTCCGCGCGTGGCACTCGGGATAGGTGGGAGAGCCTGGCACGGCTGCAGAGACACATACACGCGCACACTCGTGCGGAAGCAGAGGAGCGCCGGGTGATACGGTTCCTATAAATCTGTGCTGTAGTCCACCTCCCATTTAAGGCGACCTCCCCCCTTCAGCCTGTTCTCAGATAAGAGATGCTGCAGCTTACTTCGATTGGGAGCTGCTAGAAAGAAGGAGGAAGAGAGAGGGAGGCTGTATTTTAAGAAACCCTCCTTTTCATCCCTTCTTTCCTTTGTTCTTACCTTTTATTTCTCCTCCCCTCCCCCCTTTTTTTGTTTAGTTGTGTTGTAACAGGAAACCATTCGATTTTGCCACGCTCCTTTTTTTTTTAAGTTCCCCCTTTCTTTTTTTTAACCCCCCCTCCCAATTTCTTTTCGTGTTCTGGGAGTGGAAAAAAAAAAGAAGCTTTGATTTAAAAAAAAATCCTCCATTTTTAAAAAAATCTTCTGTTTGCAACTGTCCGCAATTTAGGTTTTGGGTGTTGTCTTGAGACCTACCCATTTGATTTTTTTTTTTTTAAATTGGGAGACCTTACAGTATTACCTTTTTTTAAAAAAAAAAAAACCTGAAGCGAAAAAAGGTAAGTTGTGCTTTATTTTATTCACATTATTATTGCCAGATAGCGACGATTTTAAGTTTTGGAGGTGTCAGGTTGGCTAGGCTGCCTTGAGAGAGGATAAAAGTGCATGAGATCCAATTAAGTTTATTGCTCACACGCTTCCGCTTGGTTTCTAGCAGCTTCAGCAGCGTCAGTTGAACAGGGTTAGCTACTCCATATCATTTAGAGTGGCAAAAGGGGTAGACGATGTACAATTTTGTGTTACATTTTGTGTTGTGTGCATACATTTAGGAACTCGCACGCAGAAACTGTGTAGCTCGCTAGCTTGGAGGTGTGAAGTTGCCTCATAACAGAACCGCTGACCTTCCCGTTGGATCAGCGGAAAGTGCTCAACGCTCGGCTGGGGTGTGAGTAAGTGACTGACTGAATGAATGAATGGAAGGAAGGAAGGAGTATCGCTGTGAAGAGCTTAAACCGGCGTTTGCAGATCAGACGGGATTAAGCGTCCAACTCTAATTGTATTAGCCGAATAGCATTGACTTGGCTGGGAAAGGAGGAGAGAGAGAGAGAGAGAGAGAGACGGAGAAAGGATGCGTGGAGCAGGGACTTGAAACGGGGAGGGGAAAAAAATCTGCAGACCTTGGTGTGTTAGCTGTCAAAGCGGATGCCTCGAGATATGCCAGGTTGTGTGCGTGTATGTGTGTGCGCATGTGAAATATATATGCATGTGCGGGTATAAAGGGACTGGATGGGAGAACCAGGCTCTTTAAAACCCCTCTAATGTCAATTACAGCGCTCTGTAGGGAGGGTTCAGCTTTTATATCCGGGAGCCACGATTTTCTTTGTTCTGAAGAAGGTTGGGGGGGTGGGAAGAGACCCGTTTCAGTTCTGGATACAGCCGAAAGGCGTTTTGCTCGGGAGCTTTGCTGGTGTGTATTCCTCGTTAGGTGCAGGCAAGCCATTTCTTCTAGCCGCTGTCCTTGGTCCTGATTGGGGAGGGGGGTGCGGCCAGGGCGGCTGCGTTCCAGCCTGGGGATAACAAAGGCATTCCCTGGGAATAATAATTTTTTAAAAAGCGAAAGTCGGTAGAGTCAGCCCAATACCGACCCGTGAATGCTTCGGTTGTGAAATTGACACCATGCCGGAGAGAGAGAGTATGCGAGGCGTTCCCGGTTCCAAACCCTGCTTTCATTTCGCCTGGTGTCAGCATCTCGGGAGGAGAAAAAAAAAAAAAAAGCATCGCCTCCTGTTGTTTAATAAAGAAAGATGTCACACAAAAACCCTCTCTGTCTCACCCCCCCCCCAACCCCCGTCGCCCCGCTCCTGACTCGGACGTGGTTTGTAAGAAAGAAGTTGGTGGCGGAGGAAGACGGTGATCTGGCTAGGTAGCAAGCCAGGCATTTGAACAAGATGGCTTGAAAGGAAGAGATCTGCCGTCTCTTGTGGCTGAAATTACGGAGGTTGCGGTTCTATCAAGGACCAGCCTCAGGCTATGCTGTTGTCGCTTAATTTATGCCCAGCACGTTACTGTGCAATGCATGCATACAGCCATCTCTCTTTCACAGGAAGAGCGTTAGTGAGTGCTTAGTCCGGGTCCTTAGTTGGTTTTCCTCTCGAGTTTCTTTAAGAAAATAAGAGGGAGCATAGGAGCAAGTAGTTGTGATTGAATTAACCATGTAGGATTTCAATTGGCTGGGGGGCAGGTGGCTTACCAGCACAACCTACATATTCCGAACTAGGCTGAATGTTAGACATCTGAGGGCTTGCTCTTTATAGGCTAAGCATCCATCGTGCCCGATGTGCAGGTGTGAATAAAATAGGACCGTGTTAATAAGTTCTGCCATCCAGCTGCATTCAAGTATATGAAAGACACCTATAGGATGGGAGAGGTGTTTGTGGGATCCTCTGGAGGGCAAGGATTTATTTCATCTTCATACAAACACACACACACACACACACCCTTCAAGAGCCAAGCCCATTTTCACTTTGCACGTGGTGGTGCTACTTAATGAGCCTTTAGCTAAACGAGTGGAAACATGGCTTGGTTTCCATCTTTACAGGCTACTTACTAGATAGGAATTGTTTGAATTTTGGCTTTTCCAGGCCATGTTGTCAACCAGGGGAGGTCAGGTGATTAAATGCTGGAAAGTTAAGCTACCCTCTCAGTGGAGGGCCCATTTAAGAGGAGCAGCAAACTCAACCTGCACCACACTTACAACCTAATGTATTTCATATGGGGAGTATTGAGGAGTGCAGCAAGCCAATACAGCTGTTTGTGAAAGGGGTATAGCCCCAAACGGTTGTCCCCTGAAGTGGGTTAGGTACCTCTACTATTTTAGGTGGGGAGAGGGATAGCCAATGAGTTCTATCAAATATTGCTAGTCTCGCAATATTGTTAAGCCATAATAAAATATGCCTTATCAGTGCCCTGACCTTGTATGTCCTCCCTATTCAACAAAGCGGGCTGTTGAGACGCTTGCCAAGCAAATATGGCCAAGGTGATGCGGAACATTGTTTCTGAAACTGCCTTGCTGGGTCAGCCTATGAATTTAAAAAGGTTGCAGGCCTGTGCAAAGCCCCACTTAAGAATCCTTTAAGGGACCACCCTGCGGCAGAGAATGTAAAGGCCCCCTGGAAGGAACCGTGAACTCAGCCAGATTCTCCCCACAAGGTTGCCTGCAAAGAGCTTCCTAGTGACAGACTTTAGGGAAGCGGAGAACGATGCCACCAGATTGATCTGGCGAAGGTCACACGTAGGGCACCTTAGCCAAGAGCCAGAACAGAAACCGGAGCTGTGGATGATAGGATTTACAGCTGTTTTACGGACAAGGCTCAGGTGAGAAAGCTCGAAGGTAGACGTTGAGCTGTTTCCCCTTTATGGATGACCCTCAAGCCTTCAGTTTGAGATCGCATTCTTTACCGCTTTCCTTACCTCCCTATGTTGGGAGTGAAGGGTTGCAAATGTCATCTAGCTGGCAGGAAAACCATGGTCCCAAAGCCACTTCTATCCAGACATCTTCCCTTTCCAAGGGCTTTAGGCCCCTTGGAGCTAAAAGGAGCCATGCCAGCATTGGCATGATGAGGAATGCCAGCAATCTTTACCTAGTTGTAAGTCCCACACAGATCAGTTGGGACTTCCTGTAGAAAGAATGAGTATTGGAACTCTTTCCAATTGGTGGGGCTATGACTCTCAGGTTTTGGGAAGTTGTAATCCCAGTTCATCTGGTCAACTGGTGAAGAGCTTCAAGGTGGCCAGGCTGTAACTGTGCTTTTCAGGATTTGAGAGATGCCAGAGACTGGACACAAGACCGAGCTCCTATGGAAAAATACCATAAGTGCATTCCCCAACTCCTTCAGAGATGCCGGGAACAAAACTAGCCCTGGCCCTCCACAACCAAAAGTACAGCTATCTGGAAAGCATTTAAGTCAGTTTGGATCCAATGGGATTTTTGGCCAAGCAGCCCTCTCCTCCTTGTTCATTTAGAGAACAGGACTTTCTGTTCAAATCTGAAAACCACCACCATTACCCTTGGCATGACGGCTTAAGTGCTTTATGGATGGGAGCCACAAATGATTTCCCTCACGGAGCTCCATAGCCGAACATTAATCTTTAACGATATGCGCTGCAGAGTTAAGAGGCTTTATGGATTACAGCCAAAAGATTGCTAATTCGAAAGACTTTATTCCATAGTCATCCAACTGACCCGTAGAATTATTTTAAAGTAGATTACTGCCTGATCTGCTTGCTCACTTTCTAAGGTTACTTTGAAGTAAGTGGAGAATACAACAGGGATTTTTCACTGCATACAGGTTCCCCCTTTTTTAAAATGTAAATGACACTGAATTTTTGGTAAACATCAAGGCACAGCTCCAGCTCCTACTCATTAGGTACAGTCAGGAACTACTGAGCTGAAAGGGATCTACTTCCAAATATGTGCCCTCATGGTTGGGCAGGTTTAGAACCGAGCTTGCATGCTCATTTCATGCAAAATTGTTAATTTACTAGGATTAACTTCTTAGTAAGCATGCACTTCGGTTTGTAGATGTAATCCTAGGCACCTATAACTAAAGGGCAAGCCTGCTATAATTTCACAATCCTCTGTTCTTAGAAAATACTCAAGGAGAGAGACCTGTGACTTTACACTGCCTCAAACACCCTGCCTCTAGCTAGGAGATAAAAATCCCATGTTTTGACACGGGCCTATTGGCAACCCTGTTCGCTCTTGTTCCCTTTGAAGGAAATTCTGGCAAAAACGAGGGAGATTATTCTGGTCGAGACCTACTCTATAGGCTGAATTAACCCCATTAATGTAAATAGAGTTGATTTTGCTTCTTAAGAAGTACCCATAATACGCGTGGCCTTCATACAATTGGAAGTAACTGCTCCTCTAATCACTTTTTGGATTTACTACGAAGAGCAGGGATGCGTCCCTCCCCAATAAGGGGGCACTTAACACCATGGGTTCAAAAGAAGTACTCGCGGCAAAGATTCGCATGCCTAAAACCCAGTACATCGCACAAACGTAGTTAGAAAAATAAGCAGCAATATAAATGAAGGCTTCGCGCAAATCAATGTTTGAGGAAACCCCATTGGATAGTAAAGCTGTTTAAAAAACAAAAACAAAAACAAAAACAAAACCGGAGATTGAAAGCTAAGACTTCTGGGATTTAAAACTTATTACCGCAGGATGCAAAGAAAACCTCGATGCAGGTGGGCTTGATAGGAACCCATGAGTTTTTTTTTTAAAAAAATTCTTGGTTGACTCCGCCATTTCGGCGCAGGCGCATTTCAGGGCTGCCACCTTTTGGTGAAGAGTTGGAGGGGCCGTTTTTTATTTTCCCGCCAGTGCCTGCATAACGTTTTGTGCATAAGGCTACGCCAAGAGTAATTTTTGCACTGAAAATTGCAAAAAAACAAAAGAGAAGAGGTCAGATATGATTTTTCTGCAAGGGGGAGGGCGGACAGAACTGGATATTTTAGCCATATACGGCTGTTGCAAACCCACCAGTGATTTTTTTAA